CCTAGCCGCCCCCTCCCCCAGCGCACAAAAGTGGGGAACAAAACCCCCGCGCATTTCTCTGTCCCTCTGTTGAGCAGACTGCTGCACAAAGCCCCCGCTCTGAGAAGCAATGGGGAGCTCGGGGGGGACGTCAATCCCGACGCGCTGGGGTTTTTGTTCGCTTAGGGGACTTCGCCTTCCTACCACACCTTTTGTTCGGGACTCCAATAAAAAGCCATTCTTTCCGCACCTTCCCGGCCCGGAGCCGCCTTTCAGCGAGGCCCGGCCCCACAATGGCGCGGCGCTCTGAGGCCTCCCCATTCACCCGCCTTGGCACGCTCACAATCGGCCGTGTGGCAGCACAGGCCTCGCACAGGCATTCTCCGCAAGTGACAAGGAGCCGCATAAAGCCGCGGCCGCCGGGGGAGAAGGGAGGGCGGCCGAGGGGGAGAGCTCGGCCGCGGCGGGGCGCGGCGCAGCGCCCCCGGGCGCGCTAGAAGCCCCGGCGGCGGCCGAAGAAGGAGCTGCCTTCGCATCGCCTACGGCTGGGCCTGGGGACGAGGTTTCCTTTCCCTGGCAACCCTCGAGGTGGGGCAGTCTAAGCCTTGAACTAACGCAGGCTCAGACACTAGCCCAAGCATCTGGGTAAAACCTGGGGGTGGGGGACGGTGTTACAAAACCCGGACCCTCAAAAGGCCCTGAGTCTCCGACCTGTCCTCCTCACAGGAGTAAAAAGAAATTAATGAACAAAGCCACGAAGAGACCAGACTTGCAGCTTGGGATCTGGCGCAGGGGAGACCAGGCATGCGATCGCCCAGGGAAGACTGCTTTCCCTTACGCATCTTGTCTTTCTCTGCCCGCCCTATTTAGAGTCCTTTCCCACTCTGGGGGGCTAAACAGAGTCTGTAGCCGGTCAATGATTTGGAAATATTGCACCTTGTTTATTGACTCCTGTAGTGTATGGCAGCGGGTGTGTACACGGCGTGTGAATATAGTTATATATATATATTATATGTGCTGAGTACAGAATACGAAACAGAAAGGAACCCGGTAACACCTCCCATGGACCGCCAGGTCCCGGATTTGTTCAGACCCCAACTTTTGATCTCGCTCAGCTGGTTTTTCTCGCAGAGTTCTATGCCTCCTGACAATCTGGAGATCCAGGCCGAGGTATCTGCTACGCAGGGCTTGCGCTTGGGAAATGAAAAATCGACTGGGGTATAGCGCTCCGGGCCCGCAAAGGGGACAGAGGGTCGGCAGGGCCTGGGGATGTCTCAAGCCACAACGCCCATTTTTCTCCTTCATGCTTTTTTTTTTTTTTTTCCTTTGGGTTCTCCGCCAACGCTTTGCGGAGGCCGCGGGAAGGCCGAGGGAGAGAAGCCTCCTCGCTCTCAGAGAACCAAACGGCAGAGAACCAGAGTCCCAGACTCTCGCACTCCCTTTGAGGCTAGGTCAGGGCCAAAGTCCTCCCCGGCACCCAGAGGCGTTTCTGCCTCAGAGACAGTTTCTGCGACCGGTCCTGGGCATCCTCCTTGCCCCTGGCCTCACGTGAGCTGCGCCCTGGGGCTCTGGGGAGCGAGACATGTATTTCTTCCTTTCTTTTTTTAACAAGGAGACCTGGCCCTTGGATCCGGCCTTTCCTGCGTTTCAGTCCGGTGGCGCCAGGCTGAGGTGAGGCGCCTGACGCCGTGCCCCTACCAGGCCCGGATGCCCTGCAAGGTGCCCTGCGCGCACGCGGCCCCGCCTGCAGCACCCTGGTGCAACGGCTGCGCGCCTCCACTGCCTCCGAAGCCGCCCAAGTTGCTCACGTTTACAAAGGGGCCGGCTCCGGCCGCACTGCAGGCGGGTTGCATGGCCGCGGCCGCTGCGGATGCTCCGCCGCCTCCACCGCCGCCGGCGCCGGCTGGGTACGTACAGCCGTAGCTGCCGCTGTAGGCCGCAGCGGCGGCGGCGGCAGCAGCGGCGGCGGCGGCGGCGGCAGCCGAGTTCCCATAGCCATAAGCCGGAAAGCTGTTATAGGAGTAGGCGCCCGCGCTCACGCTGTAAGGCGCACCGTAGGCTTGCGCGCCGGGCGTGACGCAAGGCTTGCCATCCCGCACCAGCACCGGCACTGCCACGCGGCGCGGTGGCGGCGGGGGGGGGGGCGCACCCCGCTCTAGAGACTTGTCCTGCCGCTGTCTCTTGCACTTGTACCTGCGATTCTGGAACCAGATCTTCACTTGCGTGGACGTGAGCTTCAGGCTGCTGGCGAGGTGCTCGCGCTCGGGCGCCGAAAGGTACCGCTGCTGCTTGAACCTGCGTTCCAGCTCAAAGACCTGGGCTTGCGAGAAGAGGACTCGAGGCTTCCGGCGGCTGCGTGGCTTGGGCCTCTCGCTCTCCTCCACCGCCTTACAGTCTCCAGCCGCCTCCAGAGGTTTCTTTAACTGGCAGCTTTCTGCGGAAGAAGCAAAACAACAGTGTCCCTTAGATGTTTCCGGCCTCACCACGGCTCCGGGCCCCGGAGCCCTGTGGCCCCTTTTGGTAGCAGGGCAGAGCGTGCGATAGTAAATGCCTAGACTTTTTGGAAAGTTTGTGGCTCCTGGCGCCTTGGAACTCTGCAACAGCCCAAGTACCCTCAGAACACCTGAGGCACGTTCCATAGGGAGGGGTTGTTAGTGAGCGTTTATTTCGAGCTGGAGCATCTGCGAGAGAAGAGATTATCCTGTATTAAATGTGCGGCTCAGCGTGCTAATGACTATTTTCAGGAGGAAAGTTTCAACTACATAATAACTACAGTATTTGCAAACTCGTTTGCCTTCCACTCTGTCACAGATAGCTGAAAGTGTGAGGCATATTGGTATTTGGGGGCCGGTATGCAAGAGTTACACGAAAATCTGATAGGCAATCCCAGGGTGTAGTGCTTGCGTATTGCCCAGGGACTAATTTTTGCTCTTAAAAGACTGCTTGTCTACTGCTAAATGTCTGTGTGACAATGTCTGTACTACCTTAGAGAGAAAAATAAATTCGATTGATTTAGACAGTTTTACGTCGATTTTAGGCCCAGGGGAACTGTCAGAGTGTAGGCCTTGGCTTCTACCACATCGAACCGCCTCTTGGGGAAAGAGATTTTTTTGATTGTGTCTCCTCAGTAACAAACACTTCCTTGGAGGCTTTATTCAGTTGTCCGATTTTCCTACCCTAGTCACCTCCCATCCGATGTCAGCGGTCGGGATCTCGGACTGAGTTCGGCGCGGTTTTCTCTTGGCCCGCAGCCGCACAGCCTGGGACACAAAGCAAAACGTTACGAATTTTCAAAAAAGGCCAGCGCTTTAGGAGTGTGAGCCTCTGCGAAATGGACTGTGTTCCCACTCACTCTTCAACATCCCCTCCCTCTCTGCCCGTGCGATGGGTGCGAGGACACTGAGCTTCCAGCAGAGAGGCGAGGAAACTACCCAGCCGGTCTCTACCAAAGTTCCTGCGCCCTGCAGACGCTGGGGACACAACCTACTTGGATTCTCTTTTCGGAGAAGAGGAGACCACTGTCCTGGCCTCAAAGAACTCGTCTCACGCTGGAGGGAAAGTGGAAGAGGTTCAGGCTCTGGTCCCTCTAGTACTTGGGAAGAGCAAAAATACTGTGAGTTGTCAGGACCCAGCAGCTGAGCCCGTGCTGCTTATCAGCATCAGGGCAGCAATAACTACTTTCTCTTGGAGGCTGCATCAACATCTCCCCTCTGGGAGGAGTAGTTGTCTGGGTCACCTCTTGAGTCTCCCACCGCCCCCGGCTCCCTTGCAGGCACCTGCGCTTCGCGAAACTGTAGCTGACCAGAGCGAGGCGTGACCCCGGCCAAAGGCTAAAGGGGTAGGCAGCCGTGCTGGCAGGGTTTGTGGGCTGTTTGTGGGCGCTCCGCCATTGCTCCAGATGTGCAGGTGCGATTCCTTTCCCCCTCTACTCACTTTGGCTCCGGTCTCTCACGACTTCGGACTCCTCTTCATGTTCTTTAGGCCCACTGCACGAGTCTCGCAGGACCGTGTGGACATAGCTCTGGGAACAGAGCCCCGAATCCCCGTGGCTATCTGCTGCGGCTAGTGAGTTCAAGTAGGACAGTTTCTCTCCCTCTTCTTCCTCGTCCTCCTCCCCTCCGTCAGAAAATTGTGTTCCATCCGCAGCGGCCAGCATGCAGGGCGCCGAGTGGAAGTGGTGCTCTAAGTCCGCCTGCAAGTGCGCGCCGTGGAAATGCTGTTGCTGTTGCTGCTGCTCCAGGTTCAAAATGTCTTTGACTGAGAAAGGGGTGGAGGTGACCGGGCTTGGTAACATCATCAGGGCCACTTAATTTGTCCAGTCCAAATACTCAATAAATCGCAGCGGGGGCGGGGAGGCAGCCCGGCGGCTCCAGCTCTCCTGGACTCCGCCGCGGCTGCTGAGTGGGACTTTTGACAGACGCAGTCCCACTCTAGTCTAAATCGCCTCCATTGGCCCGGACCTGGGAGTCTGGGTTTTGTTACAGCCACTGCAGGGACTGGGGCCTCGGCTGTGAAGCCTGTGTCCCCGGGTCGTGCGTCATGTCGGGGGCGGGGCTCTTGCCTTGGCCTCCCTCCCCATTGGTTCTAGCTCATGCGGACCACGCCCCCATCCACTGTGTAGGGTGTAGCCCCGCTACCAGAAATAGACGGGGACTAGTATAGAGTCGTGAGGTCCCAAGTCACTGCTGTTGAGGCAGCACTGCTTCGGGTGCCAGAACTACCGATTCCCTCCCCTCCTGGCTGCACCTTGCCGGTCATCGCCTGTTCTGGGAGACTTCCTGTCCGCTAACCAGCTGCAGGGAAGGATGGCCCAGGAGCGAGGTTTTTCTAGCTACTGCGGAGCAGGAAAGCTTCCTGGCCTGTAAATACCAGACACTGAATCCCCAAGAAGATGGGATGTTTGACATATCTGTGGATGAGCAACATGTCCGTTCCTTCCTTGATGACTGCTCAAGCTGTTCCCTCCACTTGGAACGTCTTCCCTTCCTCCGGGGAAGCGCGCTCCCTGATCGCCTAGCTCCCTGATCATCTCTCTCGAATCCAACTTGCAGCGCGTGTTAGTAAAGGACATTCGTGTCACTTACCACTTCCTACCTAGTACTTTAACTATATTGCCTGCTTGCTCTCCTCAAGTAGACTATGAGCCCCCTGCGTACAGAGCCTCGGTTACATTTGCCCTTGTAGCCCTTGCAGCGGCTCCACTAAGCAGGTATGGGAGAGACAGGACGATGGAGTTATTACGGAATTTTGTTGTCTGATAGCTCTTGGTTCGAATCGTGGCCTAGTCAGAGTGTGGCCTTGGGGATTTGTAAGCCTCAGTTTCTTTGTCTACAAAAAGGACGGATAAACGAGGCAGAACGTTCCAGGAGCTTAATGCTGGGCCCCGCACATGGTAGGTGATCAATACATGTCAACGACTGTTACTCTGCATCGGAGATCGAGCAGTGTTTATAGACTGCACTGGCGATGACGTGTCTGGAGTGTCATACACACGGGGTGGCTTCATGTGGTCTTGAGTGCAGGACCCATCCTTAGTAGGGAGGCAGTCTTTTCCGCCTATTGAAACAGGGCGTCCGTGTCTAGGCCTTGACCCTCGGAGGCGCCTTTCTAATTTCTCTAACCCATACACCTTCTGGCGCCCTCGTGCGGTCCTAGTTGATTTTGGGGCGAATCTATGGGGTCCGCTGAGATCCTGGAAACTTCACGCTGGTAGGGATCATCTTCCCGGAGCACAATAGGCTTTCGCCTGCTGCCTACCACTCCTAGGCCAGTGAGGAGCAGCGGGCGCTGCTGTGAGGTTCACAGAAAGCCCGGTGCGCAGAGCTGGTCTTGAAAAAAATAGAAATCTATTCTGGCCCAAACTTGGTGCCTCTGATCTGGCCTTAACCGCCCCAATCATTTTTTGCGGCCGAGACTGGTGGATCTGGGGGAGACCAGCCTCAGCTGGAAGGGGCGGGTGGAAGGTGCAGGGACTATGGACGACGCCCCCAAGTGGTGGCAGACACCAAATGGGAGTGGGGGCGAAAGTGGAGACCTGCCACGCTGGGGCCAAGAGGAGTGGATGCCCAACGCCGGGGAGAGAAAGAACAACTTG